TTGGTTTTTGAGATTTTTTTTTAATTTTATGGTGATGTGTGGTTGAATTGCAATGGCGGTGTACTAGTGGGTGGTTTGTGTCAGGAATATGCGGTGGTGGTGGGTGGTTTGTGTTCGGGTAATTGTGGTGTAGATCTATGCTTAGGGTTTGTCAATGGCGGTGGTCTTTTGGTTATGTTTGTGGGTGGCGGTGGTCTTAGGTGGGTTTAAGTCAGGCCGCTAGGGCTAAGGGGTTAGGGTGGGGTGGGTTAATTTGGTGAGAGAGGTGAGTTTGGTTAGGGTTCAGTCAGGGTTTGGGTTAGGGTTTGGGTTTTTTAGGTGGGTGGATCTGGGTATGGGTTTGGTGGGGTTTTGGTTAAGGTTCGGTCAGGGTTTAGGTTAGATGGGACTGGTTTAGGGTTCAATGGTGGTCTTAGGTGGGTTTAGAGATAGGGTGGGGAGAATGGCGGTCTGATGGTTTGGGCTTAGGATTAGGGTTAGTTCAGGGCTGGTGGAGTGGTGGGGATCTGATGTGGGAGGTAGTGGCGGTGGTGGTCTGATGTCGGGGTTAGGGTTAGTTAGGGGTTGTTGGTGGTGATACGATGTGTCGGTGGTGGTACGACGCATTTTTTTTTTAATTTCATTGAAGCATTTTTCGACGGAATTTCCATCGGAAATCTCTGACGGAATTGCGTCCTTCGAAAATTTCCGACAGACTTTTCCGGTGCCGAAAATCCTCTTCCGACGAAAGAATTCCGTTGGAAAACGTTATTTTTCCGTCGGAAATAGGCTGTTTTCTAGTAGTGTCATATTTCATGGCTGCGACAGCCCACCACCAACCCTAAAATGCTCCACCTGCAACCACTCCCTCTATGTCCCCTCTCCATTACCACAACCACCCCTTCTTTGTCTCCCCCTCCACCACAACAACCTTCGTACCATAAAACACGAAAACCAAAAATACCCCAAAACACACCACGTAAACCCCACCACCGTACCATAAAACACCCCCATGCCACGAACCCCCCATCCACAAAAATGCAGCCATGAAAAGTCTACGGGGGTAGGCAATTGTAGTTACGGTGGTGTAGGGGTAGTGATTAGGAGGATAGAAAATTAAAGGCATTAATTTTTTTTAGAGAATAAGGGGGCGGTGGTTTCATAGAGGGAAGAATAGGGGTGTTTGTGGCAATAGGGAGGACGAAAAGAGAGAAGGAGATGGAGAGTTTGGGTTGGTCTGGAATTAGTTAATCCATGGCAGAGGATAGATAAAGAGGGGGCAAGGGGAATAGAGAGAAAGAGAGAGAGGTGAAGTATGAAGGGAGAATTTGTGTTGGCTTGAGATTTGTTCATCCAGAAAGCGGAGAGAGGAAGAGAGGTGAATTTGGAAAGTGGGTTATAATTTATTTTTTTTTTGAAACAAATCAATTCATTAATAAAAAGTTATTCCATCTACAAATGAAATCTAAATTAACAAATACATAAAATTGAATCAAATTAGGGTTTCCTTCATCAAAACTACGATCGTTGAAAAGATCTTGCACTGTGGTAAATCTCTCGCTGGAATATACAACCTTTTCGGAGAGACGGTCTAACGATTTGTTGTAGCCGTAACGATGATTTTCATCTGATTCGCTTGAACGCATTTGAAAACTTGACAATCGTTGCGATCCCGAACAAATCTTTACTAATGAACTGATAGTAGTGCAAAAGATGATTACCTTTTTTATAAACCCTTACACACAAACAAATTAAACCCTAAACATAAACAAACAAATAAACTAACAAAAACTAACGACTCCACCATAGGTGGGTTATAAAGTTAACCACAGTTGATAAAAGTTAAATTTAAATGATTTTTTTTTAACCAAAAAAGGTCCATAAGGTTACATTTGAGAAAATTTATAAATATAGGACTACCATTGATAGTTAAAAAAAAAAAAAAAAAAGAAAAGAAAGTTGGCTACCATTGGTAATAAGCAAAAAAAAAGGGTTATCATTGAGAATTTCCCTCAATAATATAAAGGAAAAATTCATGGGAATAATCCCACCTTTGGGTCATTCTTTTTTAATAATCCCACCTTTGAGATATTATTTAATAATCTGACCTTTATCCCCCATTTTCTTTTATTGGTCCCAACCGGTCATGCAACCTGTTATAACAAGTTACATGACACATGGCGGCCTGTAATTGGTCTAAAAAAAATTTTAAAAAATCAATTAAAAAAAGCCTTTAAAAAAAATCCAACCACCCACGAAACCACCCCATTCAACCCCAGCCACCAACAAAACCACCTAAACCCGACCATCGTAGCCACCCACAAAACTCCCCAAATCCGACCACTCCACCCCCTTCCTCTCCCAAATCCAACCACCTCACCCCCTTTCCTTGTCAAATCCGACCACCCCACCTTCTTACCCTCTAAAATCCAACCACCCATCCCCTTCCCCTCCCAAATCAGACAACCCCACCCCCTTCCCCTCTGAAATCCGACCACCCCACCCCTTTTTGATTTACCCTTCGACCTTCGACCTTCGTCCTTGATGGTTTCATCAGAAATGGCGGTTCGTGGTGGCTGGGAATTTGCAGAGAGAGAAGAAGAGAGAGAATGAAGGAGAAGGGGGCTGGGGGTTCGTGGTGGCTGGGTTCGGGGTGGGTTTTAGGGTGGTGGTTATGGTGGGGATAGGGCTGAGTTCAGATGGGGGTTTGGGGTGGTGGTAATGGTAGGGGTGGCTGGGTTCTGGGTGGGGAGTTTATTTTTTTCTAAATTTTTTTTGTTTTTTTACTAATTATGTAATGACACGTGTCAATTAATCTTTTAAAAAAAAATTTACCTACTTAATCGGTTGCAGGTAAAATGGGACCAATAAAAAAGAATGAGGGGGTAAAGGTCATATTATTAAATAATATCTCAAAGGTGGGATTTTTAAAAAAGAATGGCCCAAAGATGGGATTATTCCCATGAATTTTTGCTAATATAAAAATGAAGTAATCAATAATTTGTTCTATTTACACTCAAAATACAATGTCTAAGAAGATGGGAAGAAGAATTATACTACTTGAGTAAGACAGGGGGATTCTATATTTTAAGCGAGAAATTCATGAACAATCAAATTTATTTATTTTTTAATATTCCTATCAATAATTTAATAAGTGAAATTGTATTTTTTATTATTCTATTCAGGTTTTTTCATTTTTTCTTATTTAAGTTAACCATTTTTTGTTTAAATTAAGATTATGCACATTATCTTTTTTTCAAAATTATACACAAGTCGCTTTCTCATAAAATATTTTCCTACCTTAATGCTTTAATGACATCATCTTAATTTGTTTAAGCTTAGCTACTTTGAGAATTTCCCATTTTTTATTGATTTGAAAATTGTTTCAAATAAATGCTTTCATAGACTACTATACAATCAACTCGTTATTTGTTAGAAGCTAAAATAATTTTGACCATCATATTAATTAATGATCTCTCCCTACTCTTCTTGATGCCCCTTTCTCTTCCCTCTGTCATTTGTTCGCAACACATATTAATACCTCACATCCTCTCTTCCCCTTCTCTCAATTCAATTACAATTTCGATTTTCATTTTTTATTTTATTTTCCTTAACTGTAAATTAATTTTATATCTAATTCTAATCTTTATATACCATGTAATGCAACAGAATATAAATCTAGGGGTGTTCAAAAATTGGTCCATACCGAAAAAAATGGACCGGACTAGACCAAATTAATCGGTCCGGTCTCTTAGTCGAGAAATTTATTTATTTTTGGTTATTCGGTCCGGTTCAACACACTATTAAAATCAGTCTTGGACCGGACCGTTTCTGCTTAAAATTAGACATAAAACCTTTAATAATGATTAAGATTATCCTTAACAAGCTTGGAAAACTTTAGTCATAAGAGCTTTTTTGTACTAAACTTACAAAAATAGACGTTAAAATATTGTTTTTCCTTTTTTTTTTCGAGTTTTTCATAAATTATTTAAAATTTAGGAATTTTTTTTTATAAAAATTGTAAAATTGGTCCAAACCAGTCCAGTCCGGGTTTTGGACCAATTTTTCGGTCCAGTCCGGGTTCGATCCTAGCTTAATCACTCCGGTCTTTGATTCTTGAAATTCAATTTTTCGATTTTCAGTCAGGTCCTGTGTTTGACCGATGAACAGCCCTATATAAATCTATACACCTTAAAAACAGTAAGAACTTTGCTACTGTGCTTAGTAACAGTAACCGTTGTGCTATTACCTTTAAGCCCCCAACATTAATGAATTGCCGTAATTGCCCTTTTGCCTTTTCCCCTGTAGTCGGTGCTTTTTCCCCATTTTCTGCTCCACTAATCATTTATGGCGTTGGTGCTTAGACCACTATCAGCAGTGAGGGAAAAAAAAAACTCCTCAATCTCTCTCTACCCACTTTCTCACTCCTCCAACCCAATTTCCCTCATCAAATGATTTTTTCACCACACCAATGAGGAAAAAAAAAACTCCTCAATCTCTCTCTACCCACTTTCTCACTCCTCCACTATACCCCACCATAATACACATCATCTTTTTATTTTATCTTTATTTTGAAATATTGTTTATACTACATACTTAATTTTCCAATACAATTAAAATATGTAAAAATAATTTATTTTTTAATTACGTTTAAAAATAATTTAATAAAAATATGTAAAAATATTTTTTTTTTTGTAAGAAATAAGTATAATAATAAGAAGAAGAAGAAATTGAGAGAATATGTTAATTTCTCTAATTTATGAGATTTTTTTAAATTATATCAAAATATATCAAAATGCATGTCTATTTATAGAGAAAAAAATTTTATGACCGTTGGTGTATTTTTTTTTTTTTTAAATATTTACAAAATATAACCATTGTAAAAAAGGTACAAAAATTCTGATTGGCTGAAGCACTGACACGTGTCACCCTCCCATTGGCTGGGCTGACGCGCGTCAGTGCCAGCCATTTAATTTATTTTTTTTTGCTTCGTGTACTGTTCATTGCTACCAGAAAAAAAAAAGAAAATGTATTGCTTGTGGGCCCCACGCGTGCACTGTTCATTTAGAAAAACCCTCAACTCTTGAGGGTTTTTTTTTTCCCTCACGGTTGAGGGTTTTTTCCCTCACTGCCGTGGTGCTCGGTTTTTTTTTTACACCCTTATTTTTACTCGTGAGGGTTTTTTTCCTCACTGCTGGTAGTGCTCTTAGAGGCGTGATGGACCACTACCCGGTACGGAGACGTGTGTAAAATTGAATCCGTTAATTTGTCATAAAAGTTGCCACAGTAACTCAAAGCTGTTACTGACTGTAAAATTGAATCTCTCTCCTCTCTTTAGAAGTCACTGCTGTAAAAAAGGCATCTCCTTTTTCTCTCTCTAAAGAAATACGACGATAAATTGAAAAGGCTGCTACCAGTAGAAGTAAATGGGAGAACATCCCTTACTACCCACTCGGGGCATGACTGAATTGGCCTCGTAAAGTAACCCAGTTCACCATATCTTGGCTCATAGCCAATACCTCCAATCCACTGGGCATTTGAAGACCAACAAATTGCTTCCTGTGTGCATGATGTTAAAACAAAGTATTCGTTAAACAACGTTCCTTATTGAAAACTTACCAACTTACCATGAGCATCAGAGAAGTAAGTGCCGATTCCTTATTCTTCAACTTCCTTGTTCGTTTTCTTTTTGGCTTACAGGCTTGGGGTTGCTCGGCAATGGCTTCATTCACCTGAGATATGTCCTGTAATGTGTCCTGTACAACATATAAAAATGGTTTCCTGTTTAACATGGTGCACAGGACATAAAATAACCTTAGTGCTGAGGGCATACCTGAGTGTTAATTGGAGCATCTTTCTGCTGTTTTTTATTACCCGATCTCTTACCACCTTTCTCTATACTGATTATTTGTCTGTGTGGTTTCTTCCTTGAAATGGGATCCCCAACTGATATTTTTGGCACAGCAATGGGAGGACCATCATTGACCGAACTACTGACATTTTGTGAAACAATATGACCATCATCATGCTTTAATATAGTGCGCTTTTGGGATCTTGCTTTCCGATTCCTGCTTCTATATGTTAATCTTATTCAATTTCTCAGCACATAAAGTTCGTGAATGTACTCCTTTTTTTTTTTTTTTTTTTTTTTTTTTTTTGCCTGGATTATTTGTGTTTGTTAATTTCAATTTTGATGAATTTTGTGAGTTTAATCAGCGAATAGATTTTCATTTTAGTTTATGGGACCTTCAAATTTCATAAGTATTAGAAAAACAACAAATGAAGGGTTGTGTCTGATTATTAATTGATTGGTTTGCTAGAACGATGATGACAAAGTCGGAAATCAATGAGTTGCTGCCATGTCAGAGGTGTTCGGACTTTTACTGATCTGAACTGGAATATGGATTGGTACCAACGGTTCAGGAAGTGAGTTTGATGGTGGTCGTTCTGCTTCTCAGAATTTTGCTGGTGGTGAGGAAAGTGTTAGTGTTACTCTCCCTTGATTATAGCTCTGTTAGTTGTTTTTTTGGGGCATGTTTAGAGAGTGTTTTTATCTTTTCTGCTTATTTGTGTATGATTTTGAGAATTTTATGATGTTTGTGTCATATGTTAATGCTTGATTAAGGTATGAGCTATTTTGGGATGATTATCCACCTTTTGGGCAAATTGAAGAGCAAGTGAGCGATTTGCTTATCCTGAATTGCCTATTAAATTGTTGGGTTGTGGGGTTGTTTCTGGTGCTGATTGCATTGGGCAACTGTTCTCATTTATCCTTTGTCTTCTTCTCGCTCATACCTTGCCAAAGTTGGGGCATCTGAATTATTGTATGCTTTGCCTTTTCCCCTTTTTTTAGGTAGAGTGTTGCTTTAGTACATGTATCAAAGTGTTTTAAAACATCATTTTTATGTTGGTTTGTATGTATTTGGGAGGGATGTCTATGTGTAAAGATTTGTCTATGTCCAAGTATCAGCTTTTTAACTACAATGCATCATAGCATTGGTCCAAAGCAAGTGTTAATTGTCCACAACTTCTTGTTATTGTCTGAATATTTAGTCAAATGCTATTAAGAGTCACAAGCTGCATGTAGCTACTCTTGTCAACTCCTGTTTGAAAAGTGAAAAAAAAAAAAAAAAAAACTGCATTAAACCTCACTCATTCTTATCTTCACAGGTCTCACCCCCTCATATTTACAGTCAATTGCTGAACTGTCATCTTTTTCCATACTCTACCACCAATATAAATGCATAATTCTCTATTTCTTGTAATTTTGCAGGTTGTAAATGTATTTTTGTTTTTAATTTGTTATGGTGGATTGAATTGATTTTTTGCTGTTGCCCTCTTCAGGTCCAACTATAGTCAATGTTGGTATTACCGGGCTCCTGGGAATCAAGGGTTTTTCTTGGTTATCTCTTACTCCTTAAATTTGGTTTGGGTTTTGTATTTTAATGCTTGTTTTTCTATCAAATGCATGCATTGTTGTATTAGTTGTTATTTTTGGACATTAGCTAAATCTTAATTATAGAATAAACTTGATCATATTCTAAATTCAAACAATAAACCAGAAAAGGGCGCAAACAAATAATCCAAATCAAATTAAATGAGGCTTGCCCATGGCATTACAGTTAATATTTAAGAAAATCAAGAGGATGTGAAAGAAAGAGCTAGCAAATTTCCTCTACTCTACAAGCTCGCCAGCAAGGAGCCCTACCATCGCAGCCGGTGCAACCCACAGATCACGTGAATGCAATTACCCTGAGAAGTGGTTCAAGATACGATGGGCCTTCTATGCCCAAAGATGATGAACCTATCATTACAAATATTACTAATCCTGATTCTGTTATGCCAAATATTGTTGTTACCAGCCCTGCAGGGCTCCAGGGTAAAACTAATATTTCTGATGATACATCGCAGGGTATAACTCCAAAGAAGGATAAAAATCAAGACAAGAGTAGAGATGTAAAGAAACCAGTTATCAAACTACCATTTCCTAACAGACATCTTAAGAGTAAGCTAGATAAGCAGTTCGGTAAGTTTCAGGAGGTTGTCAAGAATCTGCAGGTAACGGTTCCTTTCACAGAATTAATTACTTAAGTTCCTGCATATTCTAAATTTATGAAAGAAATCTTGACCAGAAAGAGATATATTAGTGAGGTAGAGACAATTGCTTTTACTGAAGAATGTAGTGCTATATTATAGAATAAATCTCCACCTAAGCTAAAAGATCCGGGTAGTTTTTCTATTCCTTGTCATATTGGTAATCTGATGATCGATAAAGCTTTATGTGATTTGGGTGCTAGTGTATATGTTATGCCATTATCTGTGAGCTCTAAATTGAATATGGGTAATTTAAAAGCTATCAATATTACTCTGCAAATGGCTGATTGTTCTCTTAAATATCCTTTAGGTGTTTTAGAAGATGTTCTTGTTAGAGTAGGTAAATTTTATATACCTGTTGATTTTTTTGTCCTTGGTATGGAGGAAGATTTGCAAATTCCGATTATTTTGGGTAGACCATTTCTTCATACTGCAGGGGCAATAATAGATGTGAAGAGTGGTAAACTTACATTATGTGTAGGGGATGAAAAAATTATTTTTAATCTACATGATGCCCCTAAAAGCCCTATGTTGGAAGAAAAGTGCTATAGCATTGATGTGGTGGATGTAAATAATTTTTCTAATAAGCGCCAAGCTCTCGTTAGAGATCCCTTGGAGGCGGTATTTTGTGTCACATCTTCCACAGGAAAAACCACTACATGGAAGGATGAAGTGGATGCTATAGAAAGGGCTCTAAATTGTGTAGGGCTTGGGTTTGAAGATGAACAAGTGGAGAAAAAGGAGCAACTTAAAGAAAATCAAACTCCAAGTACTGTAGCGCGCCCGACCGGGCGAGAACCCGCCCGTCCGGGCGCGGGAGGAAGTCCGTATACGGAGTCTTGTGTTCAAACCTAGTTAAAGATACAATTTTTTTAAAAAAAAAAAAAAAAATGGTTCCAGAGAGAAATTGTTTCCTTGTTGCTTTATTCAGTTAATGGCTTATCAGTGCAAGTTGACAACGTACCAATGAATTAATGACACAATAATCTAATTCAAAATTAAAGAAGAAAGTTAGTTGACTACAAGTCTTGAAGTCTACAACTGTCTAAAAAAAAAAGTTAGCTGACTATAGTTCAACATATACGTAGTAATATACAACGGAGTACGTATTTGATGTTTTTTTTTTAAAAATCGCAATGTGAGAAATGGATGATTTTTAAGAGGTGAAAGATTCAAGAAATAGTTAAAAAATAAAATGGACTTAATAAAAAGGAAAATTGTTCCATGTACCATTGAGGTTTTAAAAAATACACCGTATATCCCTAAAAACTTCTAAATGCACCATGTATTCTTGAGGTTTGTAAAAACTCGCACCAAATACCCTTAGACTCACAGTATATGTTGATTTTTGTAAACTTGAGACCCTCTAAGCATCAAATTAAATTCTATTAAACTATTATAGTTTAATGCTACTATAACGCTAAACCATTTAATTGTAAAGTGAACTTAATTAATAAAGCAAATTCTAACACCCAAATGTTTAGGATTTAGAATGATCGACGGAGTTTAAAATTTGATATAATTTATGCTTTTAGGTGGTTTTACTGCATAAATAATATAAAGTACTAAAAGTGAGTCAGTTGTGGGCATGATATTAGTTTGATAAGTCAATGATATGTGCATTTGTTAGAGGATTAGGGTATTTGGTGCATTTATTTACAAATCTCAGGGTACATGATGCATTTGAAAGTTATTAAGGATACACAATGCGTTTTTTTAAACCTAGATTGGGTCTAGACTTAGGTCTGGGTTTGGATTTAGGTCTGGGTCTGGACTCAGACTTGGGTCTGGTTTAGAGTCAGGCTCTAGGTTCGGGTCTACGCCTGACTCAGGCTTAGGTCCGGGTTTAGACTTGGGTCTGGGTTAGGGTCTAGGCCTGATGCTGCCGACTAGAAGGCGCGCAGGTATTAGACTTCTCGACCCATCTTGCTTCTTGTGGTTTTGAAATAAGTATGTTTAATACAAGTAATAATTTTTTTAATACTCTGACAAAGTCTTGTATTGGATGTCACAATTGTTGTGAGAGTGGAGTGACTTAATGAGTCATACTTATCTGTTTTTTTACCTTATTATTAAACAAATCGAATTCAATCTGTTTTAATTTGTTGAACTCGATACTCTTGTTCGTTCAATTGCTATGCTAAAAGGCAAATAGTTATACTATCTAAAGTGTTGATGCAGAAACCCCTGTGTTCATATTAGCAATCCTAGGAGACAGCCTCTTTGTAATTTTTGTACTGAAATACTACTAGTGCAAAATGCAATATATTAAAGATAGATGATTGAAGTCTTTATTTTTATTTTTTTTTAAAGAAAAGGAAATATATTAAAACTTAATAAACCACAAAGAGTTTGAGAGATGCTACCATAGTAACTCCAACAACCAAGCCAAAATAGCGTTTAATCAAAGCCATAAAACAAATCCAAACCAAAATACATAGAAGAGACAAACTAAGATCAAGTTTTTCCTTCCACCAAACGAGAATACTAGTTGATGCTGTCCAGAATATCATTCTCATAAGCTTCCTTTGCGCAATTAGGAATTGTGTCATGCCCCACAATATCCCCATCCAAACGCAATGCCATTCTTGCTAATTGGTGAGCCACTTCATTAGCCTCTCTATGAACATAGCTGAATTCGAACTTGCAAGCCCCTTTGAGCACCTCTCCAATGTCCCTTAGGATGGCAGCGAGTTCATGAGTTCCGCATTTCCCCAAGTCTTCCAGAGTGAGCATTTGTTTCGATCGTCACCTTCTTGTAATGAGCATTGATTGCCATTATCATACCCCCTTTGATTGCTAAGAGTTCGGCTTCATCCCCGCGATTTCTAGCTTTAATCTTCCATGAGCTTCCTCCTAGCCAATTGCCATCACTTGCTCTCATAACAGCTCCTGCTCCTGCAATTTCATTGCTCTTAGCTTCCATGCTCCGTCCACATTTAGTTTAGCAGAGCCTCAGGCTGGGCAATTCCCATTTGGTGTCCTCTCTACACCTGGCTACTTCCTTTCCTTTGCCCTGAAAGACAGCAATAGTAGCCACAAGATCGACCATATACCCGTTAAACAAGGTGATACGGTGCACAATGGCAAGCTGAAAAACAGCTTGGTTTCTAATTCTCCATATATGCCAAATAGCTACTGCATACATTGTTTTCTAGATTATAGTGAATCCAATCGATCCAATTGGTATTATAAAAAGAGTGATAATTAAAGCCTTTGTCTAGCTTATTTCCTTTCAAAATTCTAGACCACAAGATCTTGGAGTTCACACAGTCCCTAAATAGGTGAAGATGGGTTTCACTATCAAGCTCACATCGAGTACAAATGGGATTGAAATGGGGAATATTAACCCGAAGCAATGAGGCAGTAGGAAGAATTTGGTGACAGGCATTCCAATTTCCAAAGCAACATTTTATATTTATAGGGGTAGCTAATATGCCATAATTTACTCCAATTTTAAGGAGGGAAATAAGGGTGGGGAGAAAATTGGGAAAATAATATGTATGCACTTTTGATGGTGAGCTGACCGTTGGTTTCTAACCCCTAACAAATTGAGTCTTCAGCTTCTGCAATCGAAGGGAGAGGGATGCTTTCAATGAGGTTACAAATATGCTCCGGAATGATGTGTTTAACTCTCCTAAGATCCCACCTACCCGGAATAGGTTTGTCAATAATCTGATAAAGTGGTTTGACTGGTTTCTCTCCTACACAATGATGGTACCAAAGACAAATGTCCTCCCCATAACCCACTCTATATGAGATTCCTTTTAAAAGAAGCTCCTTGCCTTTAAGGATGTCTTTCCAAAGAGACGAATCAGAAGGGTTAGGAATTGAAGGCACTACAGGCCTTGAGTGGGATCCAGTGGAGGATGATTCTGATACTGAAATCACACTGCCAAAAAGGATGGCTGAAGAGAAGAAGGAGACAGACGAGAGCACTGTCAAACAAGGGCAACTCAGAAGGCACCATCACCATTGTCTGAGTCTTTGTCTGCTAGAGCTGCGTATGCCTTTATGCGAGGGCCTACTGTCGATAGAGTTGATGAATGGAAGCGCAGGTGTTTATTATTATATTTCCACATGTGCAGCCCGTTTTGTGGTGATTCATATGAACAGCAGTCCGTTACATGGAAAAATATTTTTGTATTTCTTCCCCTTCTAAATTTCTTGCTCCCTTTGCATGATCTTTGTTTAATTCTCTCTCTTAGATTTTTCAATTTACTTTCTCTTTGTAAATTTTTGGGTGCTCTCTTTACTTGGTGGTCTTTTGTTTTAGGTGAAACTTGACTGACTTAGTTCACCCAATCAACAGAGGTTTTTTTTTTTTTTTTTTTTTTTAAAAAAACCTATCAACAGAGGTTAGTATAGAGGTTTGAGTAGATTAAGTAATAATTTTTTTTTTTCGTGAACTATTATAGTTGTGCAAAATGTATATTTAATTTTCTAAATTAGGGTTTACTATGTGTCGAAAAATGCGGCTTAATGTTCGGAATTAGGGTTTATTAGATTGTAATGGTAGATGCATGGGTGCAAAATTGGGATTGATGGTTTGCAGATTTTGATAAGGATTCACTCTTCGATCCTAATTTTACATGTTAATTATTTATTATTCATTAAATTTAAAATTGAAGTTGAATGTGTTAAGAAGTTAGAATTTTCTAGAATCTTGAAAGCATGTCAATAATGGAATAATTTTTCTACCAGTGGCGTTTAAATTATAGGCATTTTGGAAAGTTCTACATGTTTTATGCATTTCAATGGACCTTATGGTATAGTACTATCGATTATATATTTGTTCTGTAATTGTTATCTTTTACACTATTTGTAAGATGTGGAGTTTTTTATAGGCCAGCTTAATTTAATCTATGACCTCTTTTTAGATTTGGTTTTATACAACATTTAACCATGAGTTTGGTCTCTATAGTCATTGTTTGTCGTGGCTTTGCTTCGTTGACCTAAATTATTGAAGTGAAAAGATTATGTCTTTTTTATTCAATTAGAACTTCAACTGGCTGACAGGCTGCATTCTTTTTAATTGAAGATCATTATGGTACAATGAATTTCTTATCACTAGACAAACTTCATCATAGTTGAGGTGTATGGTTAAGTTTAAGTGTGACTACACAAGTTTTGACAGACCCACATTTAAAAGTCAAGGGTTATTTGTAACAAGAAAGTCTTTTATGATACTATGAAGATATATTATATTATAAAGGTTGGAATTTAAACTTAAGAGTACTTTGTAGCTGTCTGATACCCTCCTAATGGCTTACATTTTGGCCCAAAGTCAAGCAAATTGCTAATGTGTCAAGCTTGCTAACTCGTTTTTCTTTTTAGGCCCCATCCTATATTTTCCCTCCAAATTCACCCCGTTTCTTTTTTATGTACTTATGTACCAACAAGTATAGGTTAAACATGCATTACGACTTCGTCTTCATTGATTCATACTTCACCCGTCATAATAATCGCAATATTTTCCTTTTTATGTACTGTTTCATATTAATTACAGTACTTCTTTATTTTGGTAAGGACATTTTATTACTTCTCTCTCCTACTAACTCCACTTTCACACATGTTTTATTATTTCTCTTTCATATTACATTATTTTTTTATTGTGTCTCTCTCATATCAACCCCACTTATATATTGAAGTCTTCGAGCTTATTCTATATTTTTCTTAAACTAAGTGAACTCCCTATTTGTTACGATTATTACGAAACAGAGGGAGTATATATCCAACTAAAACTGACCTTTACGTGATTTTATCTATAAAAAAAAAAAAAAAAAGAAAGGAGTCAAGCTAGCTAAATGGCTAATCTGTTCTCCAGTAGATATTATTCCAGCAGAAAGGAGTCCAACATATTAAGTAATTGGGTATTCACTACTTCTAGAGACTGAGCCCATAAAATAGGGTTTTGGGCCGGAAAAACGAGAGGGGTTGAAAGGGTTATAATGAAAAGGAGGATAACATTCATGCACAAAAGATTGACTGTAATACTCATTTAGTATATGCCATATGATAAGTCTAGATTAGAACACAAACTGGCATCATTATCATCAAAGGTGGGACTACAAATGCTAGCAATGATGTTGGTTCGGTGTAACTTTGTAAAATTGAGACTGAAATCATTGTTTTTATGTATACATATGTTTGATCAACAAGTTTTCTTTTTATCTATACAAGACGGGTTGTTTATCTATAGTTTATTGAAATAATAAGTATTATGAATTGCTACTTGGCCTAAAGCGATCTCTAGCTAGCGTAATTCGTTGCTAAGTAGGGTTTTAGGAAAGTCATAACACACTATAGGGATCGCCTAATCTAACCCCTAATCCTAAGTGACTACCCACAAGTAAACATATTAGCTACTCTAAACACAAACATAAAATACTAATTAAATGGGTAAAGACTATTTAACTAAGATGAATACATGAAGAGCATCACTGGGAAAGGAGAAGAGAACGTCGAACAAACAACATAGATAAACATGGGGGGAATGAAAATCATAAAAATGAAAGCAATCTATGTTATGCAAATTCATGGAAAAACAACATAATGTACTCCTACTCTACCCTTACATTTTGCACTTGTAGAAATTAAATTAAAGTTCTTGAGATGAACTATCATCTCCAAGTTGAATTACTCACAAACAGGGGGGGACGGGGCTGGTAGAGGTCTGACCTCCTCTGTCCGGCCTCCTCTGCCCAGATTTGCAGCCCATGTTTTAAATGTTATAGCCTCTCTTAAATTATTATATACAAGCTACGACACACATGCTACGCTTGTACAATATACGAAACTATTATTTTACTCATAATATTGTTATTGTAGGTTTTTTCGAAAATCAATATTTACATAAAACATTAAATTGAAGTTTTAAATTAGAGATCGTAAAAAAAAAAAATAAATAAATAAATAAATTAAACAATAACAAATTTACTCCACTTCTTTATCCTTAACCTTAAAAATATGGTTGCTGAGTTCTTTTGTGTAAAAGATTCAAGAATATAGAGTACACATCTATAGTATTACTACGTATACAGGTAGATGTACATTTTTTTTTCTTTTTAATAGATGTAACGTTTTTTTCTTTTCTTTGTAACATGATTGTAGAGTAAATATCTATAGTAATACTACGTATATCGGTAGATGTACATTTTTTTTTTTAATAGATGTAAAGTTTTTTTTTTCTTTGTAACATAGATGAACGTGATATATGATGACTATATGAGTATTAATATTCCTTTTTTTAATTAAAAAAAAATGTAAGGTTATCTTTCAACAATGTTAAATGTGGTTCCTTTCAATAAGAAAAAAAAATTTAAAAATAATGTAAACGTGGGTAATTTATGGGTAGTACTTTTTAATGAAAAGTAGATAATTTTGGTTTGTGGGTAGTTTGTTGGTTTGTTTTAATTTTTTTGTCCATAAGAAAACAGATAATTTAATCTCTTTCTTGTTTTTATTCTACTGAATACCATAATTTTATCCTTTTCAACGGTTATAAGATTTACATGCTAATGTGGGTGGATGTGAGCTTTTTTTTGTTTAAAAAATTATTTATATATTTTATTATTGAGTATATAGCAATTAAGTAGTTTTTTTTTTCTTTTTTTTTTTATAAATTATGTATAAACCGTCATTGATTTATAATTTTACTTTCAATAGTATGATTAACATGATTTTTTTTTTGTTTGGAAAAAAAATCTACTGTAAATCATGAACTGTTTATTTGTGAGCCGTTATAAACCTTTCTTTTCAAAACAAAAAATAGTGAATAAGTAATTTTGTAAATTGAGAAGGACATTTTGGGAAAAGGCAAATTTATCAACCAAGATGCTCTTTCTCTTTATATAGTACAAAGTACTATAGATCTATAGTAATATAGGGCGATAAATTCTACTTTATCAAAATACCCCTTTTATCTTTTATTTTCTCTTAAAAAAACAAATTACCATCCTAATTTTTTTTTAATATAACTTCCATCTTTACAAAAAAAAAAAAAAAAACAAAAAAAAAAACATCCTTTTTATTTAAGTCATATCCTACTATTAGCCTCCATGACTTCATCAATTTTAAACCAACTAATAAAGATTTCTTTTGCTTTAAAATAAAAATAAAAAATAAATAAAGATTTCTTATATTGCACACGCAATGTGTGTATGTCTTCTACCTTGTATTATTAAAGACACATAATTTTTAGTAAACAAGGCTTGTCATGTTGGTTGAGAAATGAAGCAATTTTGCGAGGGAGCTGGGTTTGATTCTTAAACGTGGGATTTTGGTAGTATACATAGGAAAAAAAATAGCTGAAAATTTTAGTGTTGTATCTTTGATTTACGATTTTGGTACGTGAAAAATCGTATAGTAAAATTTAAAATAAAATATTAGTATATTTTAATTTTTTCAATTATCTATTGTCTAACAAGTCCGACATCTAAGACTTGAAAATTCTAGCTTCGCCCCTGTTCACAAACTTTGAGTAAATATATGTGGACATACGTACTTCATTCCGTTTATATCATGCCCTTGTGCATTCTAAAATTACTTTGGTTGATCATACTTTAATTTTGTTTCCGGATGGAATCTTCTTTCATATACACCATGTAAGTCTCCAAGAGTATACCTACAAGATCAAAATCCTAAAAATACTACAAAACAAACTAAAGTACATGGAAGATTTATAATTATTGAATTTACTTGAGACTATTAATAAGGTGAATCGTGCTTAATTTATACTCCCTATACACTCATAAAATTAGGGGTATAAATACCAATGATTAGTAAGTTCAATCAGGTGCAATAAAATCTAATTAATCGCATCCAGTTAAGTCCAATCAAACCCTTTGATTAGATCATTTTGAATGATATAGTAACTTATACTCCCTCTACACTCATAAAATATCATATTTGAATTTTGCTAAATTTTATGTTTAAATTTTGGAGAACATGTAAATCAGATAAAGAGAGGAAATTGGTTGTTGGTTGCAATGGCGATATTATTACGCCTGTTAAATTTTAGCAGCATATACTTTCTCTATTTAATAAATAATATTGTAACATGGGCAATTAATGTTTTTTTTCAAAGCACGATAAACCTTTAATGTCTTTAATAATATATACAATGGTAAAAAATTATAAAAATATTATTCAAGTACATACATCATTGATCGAGAAAATTCTAATAGGACTCCAACCTAAATGTATAAATCACAATATGTGATCGAAAAAGAGTGCATAATAATATCAAAAGTACAAAAGTTGTAATATTTGTAAAACAAGAGAATCGAAATTGTAAAACTTGTTTGGAAATAACCTGATGAACAAAAGAGTGTTAATATTATTAACAGATCAAGGGAGAAGTATTAATGTATTATAAAGGTACATATTTGTATACGAAGTATTCAGCTAGAATTTATAGCATCATATCGTACTTAAATATCATACATTGCTCTTTCAATCGCCTTGTAAATATGGGCAATGGTCATACACTAAAAAAAATTGTTTGTAATATTTGCTAAAATAAAGATTGGTTGTAATTTTCAAGGTGTTTGTACTTTTGAATTTTGACATATAAGTTTGTGGCTTCAATCCAATTGGAGCTTACAAGGTGAATGTGTGTGATGTTAGTCCCCCACCACAAATTATCTCATCGTTTTTTCTTCATGATGAAACACAAAAAGTACACTAGCTAGATATTATATGTGTATGCACTTCAATTGTAACACTTTAATTTGTAAGATAGTACAATGTCCCATTTCACCCCATTAATATCCCTAGTCGACATACAATTTTGATCATAAAAATTACTATTTTTTAATTTTCTTTATATATACACTAATCTTCAAGGATAAGTAGATTATTTAGTGGGTTGGATTTCATTATTACTACCTTAAGCAAGAACAAGAATTGAGTTTGAGTGGGATTAAATGAACCCATATCCATGAGAATGAGTAGTGGATGGGAATTGATTGAATATTATTTGGTGGTTGTTGTTGTCGTCGTCAGTCAATTTCTTTTAAGTTGCTTAATCTTCAATTGGAGGATAATAATAACCAAAAAGATAATCCGATAATTCATAGCAAGATATTGATATCATGTTGTATCCATGCCACTGGAGCACCTATGTGTCCTTTGATGGAAATTTGTTGGGCGTACTAAATCCTTCTCATGGATGGACGATAAAGAGAGGTAGTCTATTCATTATCAAAGCATGCATGCTGAGCTAGTAACAAGTCTAATTAAACCAAGTTTCAGTGTGTGGTCCATTTATGTAATATTTCCCAGTATCAACGAAACAATTGAGTATCAAAACAACTGTATTGTGTAACCCAATTTAAATTCGATACTAACAAGTTATTTGTCACCTCTCTAAGATTTAATTCTTTTAAGCGGATCTGGACTGAACTGAACTAAATTGAAGTTAATTAAATTGAACTGAAAAATTAGTCCAAAAGAACATGGTCTAACTGTAGTAACGATGAAGTAGAAACAACCTAATTGGTTGATGAACTATCCAAACCAATGTACATGATTAGTTACCTAAGGGATTGAATGAAACTACCCTCCACGTACAATAAGGTAAATACAGTAATATTTGATTAAAATAACAGTAGTCATTCATTGATTCATAGAATAACTGCACTGACAAATATTATATAGTCTGAGAATTCTAGACCATAATCTCTGAAAAATTCCAGTATCTCACATACATTTGTAAGCAAAATAGATGAGTTGAAGAAAAGGAGACAGACAACCTAGGAAAATTCAGTGCTAATGCTAAACAAACGGCTGCTTCTTTTTCCCTAGGAGCTAACAGGCATATTCTTGTCATTTCACCCACAAACAGATATGACGTACCATGTATTAAAACTATATATTATACTCATATTTATAATTATAATAATATAATTGCTAAGCATGCTTTTAATTGCCGCCCTAATAAGCTAACCAAGGTAGAACACGTTGTTATTAGTTTATCAATTATTTGGTATTTTGTGCAGTCAAGCACGTCTCTTTTTGCATGTGGTTATCAGGAAGCACAAGAAAATGTGACACCAAAAATGGAGGAATCATTTTGGAGTTATTATTTTATTTATGTGTTCTTAGTCATAGTCTCATTTCATATGAATGATATGATATGATTTGATTAAAACAGTCCACTTATACTATATTATAGCAACAAAATTTGACAAACTATATATAATTGTAAGGATTAAGTTCAACTTGGGCTCCAATTATATTGATTGTGTTGTTGAACCTCTTGAATCTATTATTGATTAATGTATGTCATGTATTGGGATGGAGTAGTCAAAATAATCTCATCTTTTCTACAAGTGGCAAGCGATATATTTGCTTACTAGTTCCTGATCCTTTCCATTTATGTTATTCTCTCTATTTTTTTTTCCTCGATGGATGTAATCTTTTGATTCAGATGAGTCGGTTAGTGTAAGATGTTGAGCCTATGAACAAACCCACATATGAGTGAAAGTCTTATTCAACATTGAAAGAGTGTAAAGTAAAAGTGAATACTGGGATGTGTATCTCACATTGCCATATGATTTTGAGATGAAATCTCCTTGATGAACTTATGGTACAAATGCTCAAGTTGGGTTTAGTTGTGATCTGCACCAATAATATAGACAACTCGCATGTAAGGGGAAGTGTTGAGGCCATCAACAAACCCACATGTGAGTGAAAGTGTTGTTATACATCAAAAGAGTGTAAAATGTAAAAGTGAGTATTAGGATGTGTATTCCACATTGAAGAAGAGAAGATGTTGTGTTCGCTTAAAATATCCCAACTTTACCTCATTCGCCGCAAATAATCCCAACTTTGATTATTTTTTAATAATCTGAAATTCAACTTGATTTTGCTTGCAGTGGCCCCAAGTGACCGTAACCTGATAAAAAGGTTAAAAAAAAAAAAGGTTTAATGTACACATGTTACCTAGTGATTGGCCAAAAATAAAATAAATAAATAAAATTATTTTTTTAACTTTATTTTATTTTATATACTATATCAATTACGTGCTGACACATATTTGGTAACTTGTTATAACAAGTTAGATAACCGGTTGAGACCACCAGTTCGAAACAAATTTATGTTAAAATTTGGATTATTAAAAAAAATTAAAAGTTGAGATTATTTTCGATAAACGAGCGAAAGTAGGGATTATTATTTTGGGTGGGGTAATAAAAAAAAATTAGCCATGTCTAGTTAGTTGTTTGTTATTTGTATGGGTTGGTTTAATTTGACTAACTAATTTGATAAATTGGTTATATTATATATATATATTTTTTGTTTAGCCATAAGGGGGGATGATGAGAATCGATCCAATGATCCCCTGGAACCGGGAAGGAAACTCTGACCACTTGAGCTATCCTTCACTCTCATTGGTTATATTATGTTAGTTGTTGATACAAAAGTGTTAGATAAATAGTTGATAGTTACTCTATATATGTAAGTTGATCAAAAGAATATATATATTCAAATTAATTGTTAATTTGAGCAAACTTGTTATAAGGCAGTAAATTTGACCAACTTTAAGATAGAAGAGTTAGTTACCCCAATTACCACAAATATTTCTCACAAAAATCAACTCATATTGCTAGTTTTATTCAAAAATAGCTCTCTCAGACTCAAATCCTTCATTTCTTAACCCAATACTCACATTAGATCGAGGTTCATTTTGATCTTTTGCTTCAAACCTCTCCTATCCAAATACTCCCTTAAATTAAAGGGAGTATTGGACTACTCATGTTATGTTCTCCTTAATTACCTATTTTTATGAAATTAATCTAATAAGACTCTGCTTGTAACTTTTTTTTTTTAATTTTACATGTACATAATATTCAGCCAAATCATGATAAGATCATATCAAACAAACTTATTAATAATAATAATAATAATAATAATATAATAATCTATTAACTATTACTAAAACAGAGTATGTTGATGTCATCATTGCCTACATGTCGCTTTCTTAATAAAAAAAATTCCACCTAAATGCAAGGATGATGTCATCTTTTTTTTTTTTTTTTTTTGGGTATGTGGAGCTATCAATATATTTAACAATTTTAAAATTTAAATGTTGGAAGCTTCCACATTACAACTAAAACCTATCAATTTATCCTAGGATTTTTAAATATAATACTAATAAATTACCTCCTACATATATTTTTTTTAGGCCAAATGATCTCCTACATTAAAATATATATTAGGTGACGTTGAACCGATACTATTTCATAATTTTGATGAAAATCTAAAATTTTAAAATTACTCTTTTTTTTTTTTTTTTTTGTACAAGGTGCATAATTCTTATATAGATTTTATATAAACCGTGCATCGCACGAGTTCTAACCTAGTAATAATAATAATCCCTCATATGGATGTACAATTGTGGAAAACAAAAGAGCTTTAAGTTATTGATGATAAAAGCCTAATTACTACGGAGTAGATAATTCAAGTACTTAGTAACAAATACATACAATTGGTCAAAGTAGTAACAAAGTGAAAACTCAATATATAGTTACAACCCACAAACAAATGTCAAACAATATTTACAAACTTCTCAACACAAATTCTCCAAAAAGGCGGGTGTATATTAATTTATTGTAAAACGGGTTAAAGTTATGTTAAAAGTACTTAAAGTTACCCTTTATACAACAAAAGTTATTATTCTATTAATAAATTTTATCTTACAAAAAACTTATAATGTATTAGATTAATCATATTAGTTTTTATAGTATGTAATTACGTATCTATAAGAAATTACACATTTAAATAAAATTCAAATCAACGACATTACCCTTTAAGTGGTTAAAGTTACCATAAAAATAGTTAAAGTTATGCTCAAACAGACCGTTTTCAATAAAATTAATGTACACCCGTTGTATTCCTTTTTCAAAGTGATTGGAGGAATTTTAGTAACAACGACTTCACTTAACAACATGATTATATTCCCAACCACTCTATTAACTTAAGCAAGATGCTAATAAAAAGAACATTTCCAATTTAGTGAAAGAATTTGTTTGATAAGCAACTTAATGAGGTAAAATTAATTAATGAGAGTACACACACTTACTAAAAAGTGATTATTCCATTTATAGAACAAAAGAAACCAAAAGGAATACAATTTAATTTTAGAAGGAATTAAGAACAAGGCAATAGCACGTGACACAAACTTGTACAAAGTATACTTTTCCAACCTTGTTCAATAGAATTTTCTCCTTTCTCTCTCTCTTTATATAAATGGTTGTATATATGTAGCATTCAGTGCTATCACTGCTTTAACTGAGCTCAATCACCACCCCCAGATCTCAACCCCACCAGAAAAAAAAAAAAAACATGAAAACAGAAATTTTAAGTGATGATATTCATAATAATAGTGATAATAATAACATACAAGATCAAGAAAGTGAAGAACTAAGAAGAGGGCCTTGGACACTTGAAGAAGATAATTTGCTCATCCATTATGTTGCATGTCATGGTGAAGGTCGCTGGAATTTGTTGGCTAAATCAGCAGGTAATTTACGAAACACTATCGTTTATTGGGGTGTATATAGGACATTGATGCTGGCGGGATTTGATTTCAGGTCTTAGAGTATTGCTGCTAGAGTACCACAACTAAAGTAGCGCGGAACTATCATTTAGTTGATGAAATAACTCCAAAAGTTGTTATTGATTAAAGTAGAAATATGAAGTTAGATCAATACGTATCATAGTGTAATTTTTAATTTTGTCATGCATTTCTAAAATAACAGTTGTATGTATTAATTTAGGAAATGTTTTAACGGTTTATATGCAGATTTAAAGGCTACAAATATCATTCCCGTGAATCCGTGATTGTATGTTTATCTAATTTGTAATGAATTAATTAGAATATTCATTTTTTATTGCAGGATTAAAAAGAACTGGGAAAAGCTGTAGATTAAGATGGCTTAATTACTTGAAACCGGACATTAAGCGCGGTAATCTTAGTACACAAGAACAACTTTTAATCCTTGAACTTCACTCAAAATGGGGTAACAGGTAAGCTTTTTTCTTCAAGCATTGAAAATCAAATAAAGTTCCATATTACTCTGTTACTCATCATGACATGCATTGGAGTTTTGGCTCATAAAATGATTAGAAGCAATAATTAAAATGCTCGAAGGTGTAATTAGGCCTTAATTATGACTTCCTAATCCAATTCACTTTGCTTTGTGGGAAACAGTAATTAGTAAATTATTATAAACGCGATAATGGAGAAAGCGTTCCAATTATTTCAACTTCATTGTAGATGTCATCTAGCTTCGTTGTGAAAACAATGGTCAGTAGTGGTCCAATTTAGGATTAAATTTCATCTGCATTATTGACTTTTGTCAAACTTATCATTGATAATAATAAAATAATATAATTTTACTTTGCTATAATAGCTTTCTGACTAGGTTAAAAGGATAATCGTACATTATTGTTGCATTTTAGTTTTAAATACTAATGTAATCACCTTGTTAAAACATTAATGAATTAGATAGATTACTGATCTCACATGTCATATGCTAATTAGTTAAAACATTGTCAAACCCATTTATGGCCCTTAAAATAAGTGTACGTAGCAATATATGCATCATTTATATTTAAATAGTGTAACTCACTCACATCTGGGAATATATAAAACAGTAAACTGATGTGAAGATACCAACTCAATCCTCATATCTTGTGACTTGTGTTGCATGTCTATACTTTCTACATTGTTCCATAAACCTTTTAAGTTTTCTTTTTTAAGATTTGATTCACATAAAATCATGCACTTTTTTTTTGTTGTTGCACGTGGGTTGTAAGTGGGAAAATATGTCATTAAGGAATGACTCAACGGGGCAAGTTTGATAGGATGGAGGGAGTACTGCGTAGAAAGTAGTCTTTTGATGGGAAAAATGTCTTAGGCTCTTAGCCATAATCATGATAATAACATATGCCGCTATGTACATATATTTTATTCAATTTAATCATTTTTCTTTAATTTCCAAGATAAGCCATTAAGACGTTTTCCTTTCGAAAAGTTTCGACAATTACGACTTGTAACATTTCGGCAACTAAAGAAAAAACTTTGATGGTTATTGCTTTTACACCAAAAATGTACTCAAGTCAAGTACTCGAAAACATATATTGAGTGACCGAGACATTTAGTGGTCCAAATTCTTGATTTTTGTTATAATTTTATTTCATAGAGTGATTAGTCTTATTACAAATTTACAATGAACACAAGACAGAACGGTGAATTATCGTTAATTTGTGGATTATTTCTTGATAGATGGTCAAAAATAGCAGCACACTTGCCAGGAAGAACAGATAACGAGATAAAAAACTATTGGCGAACGAGGGTGCAAAAACAGGCTAGACAACTCAATATGGAGTCTAATAGCCAAAGTTTCATGGATGCAATTAGGTGTTTTTACATGCCTAGATTGGTGCAGAAAATCGAGCAGAATTCGACTGAACATACAACTCCGAATGCTGATCATTGTGATCACGTCGCGGCTTCTTCACACATTATACCATCATCAACCAAATTAGAGGACATGAACTTTGATAGCACTAAAGATACTTCAAGCTCAAACACCAGCCTTTCAAGTGTCCCGGAATTTCAAGACCAACCAACTAATAGTAAAGGCAGCTCCTCTGTTGTACTAGATGATATCCATTGTGTGAATAGTTGTAACTATGACATGGACTTGGGTTCCGGCTGCCACATGGATGGAAACGATTGGCTCGATAATGACATGGCAGGGGATGGCATGTGGGATTTGGATGAGTTGTGGCAGTTTAGGAAGTACGAAAAAGATGTGGGCATCTAAACATGAAAAAAAATGAGCCCTTTTTCCAAAATGAATCATATCCAGCCCCCTTTTTTTGACATAGGCTTCTGATAAGTATCTACTCCGTATTATGTACCTGCTAAAGTATATATTCGTGTTTTGTACGTAATATTTAACGTTTCTTTTAGGTAAGATACCCCTAAAGTAAGCTGGGTGAGAATCGAACCTTAACCTCCCACTTGCAACTCGACAGCTTGGCCAACCGCTCCAAGCTGCTTCTCAACGGAACATATACCAAGTATGTATGTAATAAGTAAGTTAATAGTAATATATATATATGATGTAATGTAATGTTGTTTTAGTTGTAGGTGCAGAAATAATCCATTTTTAGTGTGGTAAATTCTGTACCAAAAAAGTGTTGGTTAAGTTTAAAATAAGTATACTACTACATCTTTTTCTCTTGTACTGTTTGTGATGACTTTGAGAGCATTATCAACAGCATAATGAAATGAAATGCAAATTGACCACATTGTAAGTAGAAGATCAAAGGAGTAGTCAATTGATAGGAGTCATGACTAGATGATAATGACATACTTTGATAAATAAAAGTGTATGGATCAATGGTACAATTGTTGAATCATAGGAAAATGACATTTTACTGGCTGATTAAATCAGAGAAGAGGGAGGGGGGGCCTTTTAATATTCACATTGCAAGATAACCATAAATATGAATGGTTCTTTTCTATACTGTAAGAATGGCCAAACAAGCTAAAAAGCCCAACATAATTGGTTTATATAATATTTTATCTACTCTTTATTGATATAATAATTATACTTGTACTCCCTCTCTTTTCTTGTACTCTATTCGTTATCTCTTTTAACCTTATAGTAACGAAATTGTTTCCCCCCACAATACCAATTTATATAAGAGATTTTTTTTCATTGTGCAAACGAACATCAAATAATGGTTACACTTTATATTACCCTTCCTCCTTTTCATTTGCATCCATTGCATTTTCTTTTCAGTAGTCATACCAATTAATTATTAAGTGCATTTATTTCTTGGTGATTGGTTTTGCTCCTATCCCTCTGCCCTAATTATTTATCACAAGTCATTTTAGAATAATCGACATGGTTTGATGTTTAACATTATCACTATACTAAATTTAAATTGTTTTTACTACTAATATATTTTAAAAACAAATATTAAAATGCATTTAAATAGGTTAATATAAAGTGTTTATGATAAGAGATGTTATACAATTTTTTAATACTACCTCCATTTTCTCCCTCTTTTTCTTAACAACATGCAAAAAGCAATGATTAAGTTACAATGAAACAAAAGGAGTACATACAAATCAGTGAAAGTGATTGAGTTTAATAGGTCGATGTACATGATGGATAAAATGGTAGAGTTTTGATGATCATTGGCTCATTGCTAATGGTTGAACGAAGAAAGAAAGAAAAGTATATAGGTATAGAGTGAAATTGTCAATATGTTAATGAATTTTGTAAGGAGCATGAGGTGACTCGTGCTCTATTGCTCTGCCGTCTCCCCCTCTCCCACCATTTTTCTAAAAATTTAAATTTTTAATAAACAAATTAAATTTTATTTCATTTTGGTCACTTTGATATTATTAACTCCTGCATTGTTGTTAAAAAAAATACAAAGTATGTCCTTTTCTTCTCATCTTATTTCCACTTATTTAAAAATAATAATAAAAAAAAAAAGTTCACACAAGGTTTGATAATTTAAGGCCGGACTTATAAGAGATACTCAATTTCAATTTATGAATAAAATAAGTTTTAATATGATTTAATAATTTCAAATAATTTATCATGCATTGAATATACTACGATGCGCGTTTTCTAGAAAATCTTGTGTTTATCCTTTATGCACATAGAGGGAATAGTTATTATACATTTATACTCTTGTAATACAAACATACTAGTGAAATTTAATTAACTGATTTTCCTTTCTTCTGATTTTATTAATTTGATGAAGCTTGAATATAGTTCTATTTAAACTTGTGTACTTGCATTAACTTTCTACGAAACAGCCTCTTCCATTGTCAAAGAAAAAACTTCCATATGTCGCGGCATATAGGATGCTTATTTGTTTTGATAGCAAGATTGGATATTGAAATGACTTTTTTTATTTGTTAGGTGAAGAAGAGTCAACATATTTTCAAGAATGACTAAAAGTATTCTAAATTCAAATTTGATCTAATTAGACCTTTAGAAGTACTCCGTAGAAAAAACATTTTATAGGTAAAGAAAGAACTTTCCAGCCTTATAATGCTAGCCTAGTGGTAAAGGAAAAAATTTCCAAACATAAGGGGGGACACTTTCCTTATTCTTACCCCCACTGTTAAAACGTTTAGCCCGATAACCTGAATCAGATTGATGTATAAAAGATTTTAAATTGGTTTGACAATCATTCTTACCCAAAAAAATAAATAAATAAATAAATAAATAAATAAAAAATGAAGAAGAAGAAGAAGAAAAGTAATTCAATTCACAAGCATGGAGTAGTACAATCATAACAAATACTTTTTCCATTTCTTAATTTAGACTTTTCGTTTAGGTGAAGCGTGTTTGTCCATGTATAACTTCAAATAATAATATTTATTATGTACAACAATAAATTATAATAATTTGATGGTTGAAAAATAGACGTTGAGATAAATCAAACAAAATCTCACTCGAATATATTTTTTCTAAGGATAAATCACAAAATAAATTCAAAGTAAATGCACGATTTTTTCATCTAAGATTTTTAATTATTTGATTTATTGTATTTAATAATTTCAGACAAAATTACAAAAGTTTAATATTTATTTTTTTTTTTACTATAATTTATAATGAATTTATTAAATATAAATAAATTGTAAATATGATATTTTTTCCGTTATATAAAATCTTTAATGTGAAATGATAAATTTTTAATAATTTAAATCCTAAATCATTATTCATTGTTTTACCATATCTTTTATTTCAATAGAATCACCAACCTCGTCCACAACCAACCTACTACATCAATGCATAAATTAAATCGTGAAATGTTAGCCAAACTGAAATTGATATAATTTAAATCTCTACATTTATATAAAATAAATCAATATATTTACCAATAAATGAAAATTTGTTGCGATATAAAATCAAATCTATGCATTGGAATTTTTTCATCATCTCCAAAAATAACCAAAGTCATCCATATATTAAGTATACAACATCTAATCGTATGCCATTACATAAACAAATAATCGTTACGTATCCTAAATAAATACAATATAACTAATAATTATAAATATAAATTTAAACATAAGATTTTAAAAATTATCGGACATTGATGACCTAAAACTAACACAAAATTACTAACACAAAATTCGCTTGATGGGGTTTTGTATTGATACGAAATTTTATTTATGTCGTATGATGTGTTAGATCTGCATGTAAAAAAAACATTTAGTAAATAAAACATAAACATATAATCGTTGAGTATCCCAAATTATTACAATATAAGTAATAATTAGAAATACTAATCTAAACATAGGATTTTAAAAATTAAGCTAAAAATTACCCGGCCATTGATGATAAAAAATTAACACAAAATTACTAACACAAAATTCGCTTGATGGGTTTTTTATTGATACGAAATTTTGTTTGTGTCGTATGATGTGTCAAATTTATGATGGTAGGTATCACAACTTTTAATTTAATTATAATTAACGAACAATTGTATTTCTTATCATAAATACTATCAAAATTTCTCTTATAATGATAGGTATCAAACTTTATTATAATCGTTTATCATTTAAATATTTTTTAGTATACTTTTTTTTATTTCTTATACTCGTAGTATTGAATTAATAAATTTATCTTTTCCTATATTTTTACTTTATTTTTTTCATTAAAATAATTTAATTCGTGGATTATAATCTACGTGGCATTAAAATTTTAGATATATCAAATCTAATTCGTTACTTTTATCCAGGTGGCGACATAATTTATTAATTCAAAAACAAAATACAATTTTTCTTCTTATTGGTCGAAATAAGTATATTTCTTACGTAGCGCTCCGAATGCTCTCCAAAAATGCCTACTTTATTTTTATAATATTTATATATATATATATATATATATATATATATATATATATATATATATATATATATATATATATATATTAGATTAGATTAGATTAGATTTTTCATTTAATCATCAAATGAAAAGTAAAAACTAAATTTGAGTTAATTGGGTGCACGGTACAGTCGGGTGTATATTATGATGGTAACTGGTAAGCCCCTTATTTTCGCTTTTCATTAATTCTATTTTGATGTTTACTCTTACTCTATATCAATGTTGATACGCTTTAACATCATATCAACCAATTTCTGGTATCATGTAATACTCCCCGGGGTGTTACAATTCAAGTCTATATCAAGTCAGTTTTGTCAAATCTAGTGAAAACAGTAAGATTTTCTCTAGTATGTTCGTAATTAAACAGATACTTCATTGTAAACGATGTTCTCTGTCTAAAAAAAAAATTGTAAACGATGTTTATTTAATTAAGATATGGTGCTTGTGTCATTGTATGACATATATGTACATGAAGTAAGCACTGAAAAACTGGCTTAACCTTTTTTTTTTTTTACTTACTTTTAACTAACTAATGTTATCAATTCTGTACTAATCTTTATTGATTCCAAAACTTGAGATGACTAATGCGGAGAAGACTTTACATATTTGCATTGCAACTAGTTCAAAAACAACATTCTTCAAGTTGGCAATATAAAACGGATGAGAACATTAGTACTAGTACTTTAATTAGGAATCTGATTCTATGGATTGTCAATTTAATTTTGATCCACATGACCTTGTGTTATGAAATCAAGGTTCACACTTAGGGCCATATATTTGCACCAAAAAAAGTACAGTATGAAAATATATTAAAATCGATACTACTAATTATATATTAAAAATCATTCCTAAGGATTGACCATGAGACTTCAAATTTCAACACTAAAACCTTATTCAATGAGGTATGACGTATTACATGTTCTTTTTTAAAAAAATAATTGTTAAACAGAAAAAAGTTTGTTTTGGTCAAATGATTTAACTATAATTTTATCATGCTATCATCCACAATAAATAATCCCTAATTGTTGTTCATGTTAACTCGGGTAAATACTATATAAAGTACTAGTTAATCTTAAATTTAGACGCCTGGCCAAAAGTCTTGGAAAATTCAAGATAATATCCTCTTCACTTTAATTTAATTCAATACCTTGAAGCATAATTAAAGTTAATACTCATTTGTTTTGTTAGGTTCTAGTCTCTTTGTTGGATTCGTTCCTCATTTGCATCAAAAAAAAAAAAAAAAAAAAAAAGAGAGAGAGAGAGAAGTTAGTAGGATTATTGGGTGTGGCAATAGTAAATTGACTAATTATTTTTTTAC